GCGTTCTTTTACATTATTAGAGTCGCTTGCAATCAAGCAACACCTTATAATAATATTTCATTTTTGCCTACCAAACAGAGATCATAGGGAGAGCATTTTGAAATTTAAGCCTTAAATTTGTCATTTAATGTGACCTTTATGGCTAAAATAGTTCAAATGGTTTAGAAGATTTTTGTTATTTAAACAATTCTAATGGTTTCCCTATAGGCTGTAGCTCCTGATGCTGCAAGATGCTGCATCACTGCAGAGGGTCATGGAGACAGAGCTTCCCTAGACTTAATGAGAAATCGGTAACCCTGACCATCCAGTTTGGTACTGTTACCAGATGAATGCTGTCATTAAATATTACTGCTGTTATAAATAATAGCACTAGCAACAGCACCCATTTCTACAACAGGAATAGCCAACAGTCCCAGGCACACAGAAGACCTTGTTGTTCTGGACACTCTACATACAAGGTGCAAAAACAAAACCCACCCCAAGAGGTTTATAGACAGAATACTGTATATTTAGATTATCTTTGATGCCTTAGTCAGTGCCAGTATCAAAACCACTTTTTCTCCTTGTTCCTCAACATCATCATGTGAAAAAGATGTTGATAGTTTCCTTTTGGGAGAACGTTGAGGTCTAGTGCTGAAAAGCCCAATGAAAGACATTGGTTATTAGTAGAAGTTAGTTTTTGTGATGAAAAGCTGTATGGGACTGCTGATGCAAGAGGTGGGGTTTTTGCTGCTGTAAAACCTAGACCTGATCCTGCTCCATCTGGTATTTTGTGATTTTGGACCTCCGTGCACAGTTCACAGTAAGGTCAACAAAAGCCCTGAAGGCTTATGTAGAGGCATGGTTTAATACAGAGTTTGCAGGTTGACCTTTATGTTTATGACCTTTTCAAACTAAATGGGCATTGGAATTCCAGAGGACCTCTTTTTTAATGCATAACATGCACTTTCTCCCAGCTAAAAAAAAAAGAGCGAGGTTGAAGTTTGGCTATGTAGTATTCTGTCTGCCTAACTTCAGCATCTAATTTGCAGCTAAATTATATACACTGTAAATAACTGTTTAAGTTCTTGAGTTAATCAGCTCCAAGAGAGGAAGGTGCCTTGCAGGTAGGGAGATCATCTTCCCCCGATGGACTAGAGAGGAACAGGATGCTTGCCTGGTTTTTTGTTTGTTTGTTCAATTGGGAATGGTTGCGATGTCACCTGGTTTCTGTTTTCAGACTGCATTCAACACCATTCTCAGTTCATGGAGATCCCACAATGTGAAAGACATGAATGTAGGTTGTTTCAGTTATGTTAAATTTCTTCAGCCATTTATGAGAAACTATTTTTCAATGGGAACTCCAGAATAAGTCAGAGCTCTTTATTTCTCCCAGGTAAATTGAGCCCTCTCTGTCTCTTCCTTTGTTAGTGGTGGGAATGGTGTGATGACTACTTTGACACTGGAGCTAAGCTGCATGGTGCTAGTTTTTGCTTAAGTAGCATGTCGCACAACATCTCTCTGATTCTCCAAACAGGCCTCCCTCTGCCTTTCCTTCTTTCCCCAGTCTATGCCTTTATAAAAGCAGCCAAACTTTAAAAGCACATCAGAACTTATTATCAAGGGTGCTTAAATGTCAATAATTTTAAGATATATTCATTTTAATTAATTGTCCATTTATTTCACAGTGCTGAAATTTTTTGTTGATGTCGAAAACATGTAGCTCCCCAGCCTCCTTTGAATTATCTTCTCCGAGAACTAGCTAAAATGCCTTTCTGATTTCTTTTCTGCTTTTTATGCCCTTACCTTCGGCTTCTTAGCAGCAAACCCAAGCCTTTGCCTCTTCTTACAATAGTTTTATCTGAAAATTCAGTCTGCATTATTTTCTTCTTAGCATGATATAGTATATAAGAGAATAAATATTTGCATGTTATGTTACTAACATTTATTATGTTATGATTAACAATAATCTGTAGTTGAATTTGTGTTTCTTGAGCCAGTTACTAAGTTTATTTCATCTTTTTTGAAAACAGAAAAATTGGAAATTTTGACTCTGCTTCTTTTCCTGAAAATCCTAGAGATACTTCAGACTCACTCTTGAATTTCAGGGTGAATAGTTTTCTGCATTTTCTTCTTATTCTCTGCTCTGAGCAATGCAAGAATTGTAGAAATTGGCCCAATCTATCATCACTGTCCTTGGTGGTGTTAGTTTACTTTGGGGCAAGACAAGTAAGAATCCTCTCTTCCCTGAAAAAATGTGCTTTAGAGTATTATTCTCTAAATTAGATCATATCCTGTATTTCTCTTCTTCTCCACTTCTCTACCATGACATGGTAGACCATGTGAGACTTGTGTTAAGATCTCAATATATCCTGGCTTTATTAAGTTTGGACATGGACCATGTGTGCTCTTTGATGTCTACTAGTGAAGGAAGACTCTTGCCAGGTTTTAGCTGTATTTGGTTTGGGGATGTCCTCCAGAGTTCAGTGTGATCCATCTTTACATCTAAGACTGAACAAGGCTGATTCTCCACAGTCATCAGATATTTCTGAGGGGTATATTCAATCCCACTCTTCTGGATTGTTCCACTGGAAAAGAAGGAGAAAGGCCTTCACATGGGACTCATTTGCCTACAAGTCCTCCAAGTTTGCTGACATGTTTTCTTCTCAAAGGAGAAAATGATTTCTCACAGCAGCATAATCTTGCTTTAAACTGCATATTAGCAGCTGATAGGAACGTAGGGAGGCTCGGCATCTTCCCAGAAAGGAACCTCATCTAGGGAAAAGCCTACAAAAAAACGACAAAAAAAAAAACTAGAAAAAACACAACAACAACAAAACAACCACACTGGAATTCAAAAGGGACAGAGTTGCAGAACCCACATTCAGTGACAATGCGAGATCTGCATCTGTTGTATCTTGCCTTAGGCAAATTTTCCAGCTGATCTCTAGAAACCCCTTTTAACAGTTCAGGAAGTTTTCCTTGGCCTGTCCGTTACACTAAATAAGTGATAAGCTTTACATCAGAAGATCCTCTACCATTAGTCATGTAAGGTTCACTGCTTTTTTTTTTGAACTATCTTTTTTGTTAAAAGGAAAATTAATTCTTTCCAAAGCACATGGGACTTTCGTCAGAAGAAAAATATGTTCATAGTGACTATGAAGCCAAGAAACAAGCTAAGAACCAAGGTAATACTCCAGATTCAGCCAGAATACATAACCAAGGCTACGCTACACCAAGAACACAACATATAGTCTGTTGGCTCAGAGGTGCCTTGGTTCAATTTCCTGAGATCTCCTTCTTGACCATACTATACCATCTGTTAAATTGAAAATTAGGGCTGTGCTAGAAGGGTCTCACAAAGCTGTAGTGAGGCCCAACTAATAAGATCTTTTGTACCAGGGGCTGTTTCTACAGCTATCCTGAGTTTGATACCAGCTGGAACTAGCTAAAGTTATAGTGGAAAATCCTATATAAACTATAACATGCTTTCAGGTAACATAAAACAATTTCTAGTTGTAGAAATATAATGCTTCCAGGGCTTATGCAAGAGCATTAAGATCAATCTCCAAGAAAGTAAGGGTGGAAATCATCTCACTTAATTTTAGGTGTCCAAAGTGTACACATAACTATCTGTGCTCAGTGTCTTTGGGAATCTTAACAGGTAAATAGAGAGAAAAAGCACTTTCTGGATGAATTTACATGATAAGTCTTCTCATCCAAAGATGGCACTGCAAGTAAATGTGGACTTTGAAATCCCATTCTAAGTGCTTTGGTTTAATCAGAGTATTTTAAGGGAAGTCTTTAATCTGTTTTGAAGATGTATCAGCATTACATCTTAGCCTGCAATGGTACTACAAACAACGGCTAATCCACATCTCTCTGAGGTCATTCAGTGTTAAAATGCTTTCTCAGGACAACCTGTCTAGCCAGCTTGCCAGTTCAATCATCTTGCCTTCTTTATCGCTGATTTTCCCAAAGTGCCCAAGGAACTCACAATGTATTATCTTCATTTGAAGTATTTCTTTCCTAATGCAATTGCAAGCACATTAGAAAAGACAGCTTCTACATATCTTGTATCTGAAAGCAGGTTTTAGTAGACAATAAAAAGGAAAGCGTGTGCCATATGTTGGAAAATGGAATAAGTAATAAAAATTCACATTAATAAAACTGAGCAGCTGAACAAAATTTCATCATCCTTAGCCCCCTTTCATCCTAAGATTGTGATCAAAGAAAATGTTAAATGGCTGATAGTAATGTTGGTAAAACTGGTACTGCAGGAGCTTACAGCACTGCAGATGAGCTTGCTTCAAAAGGGTTGGTAGTCACCCAGCAGCATGCTTTCAAGAACCAGCTTCAAGTACCCCAGAAACATATGAAGCTGACACCTCAGCTGTCACCTCCTATGGGCTCAGCCCTCCGACCTCAACATGAGCACCTTCAGAAGGAAGTGGTTTCATGTGGAGTTCCCAGAATAGTTCAGCTGCAGGTTTTTAAGAGAAGAGTGTTGTTTGTTTTTACACAAGAGTGTTCTCTCTCTCTCCGTGACCCTCTAGCACCCGTCTTTTAAAGATAATTGTGTTGGGTGCTTCTCTGGGTGCTTCATAGTAGGCCTTCATAGAGTTAATATGTTTATGAGACTCTTAAGAGTTTAGCATTTATACCTAATTCATTAATTATTCTTCAGTGTTTAAGTGCAACTTCAGAACCATTCATCATATAAGGACCTGCTTTGAGGGTATATGAAGGCTGAGGAGCAGTACAAAGCATTTCCAGACTGCCTCTAGTCCTCCAGATGAGAGGCAGGACCCAGTATCTCAGGCAATATTCCCAGAAGTTCAGCCATCTGAGCGGTTCTTCATTTTCAACATCTGACCATGGTCTGTTACAATGTACCAGACCGAATCAGGAATAAATCAGGATTTCACTCCAAAAGAGATTATGATCACAAATCTCACAGCAGGATGTTCTCTGATCCATCTCTGTCTCAGTGTTTGATGCAGTTTCTGCCTTCTTTAATAGAAAATGAATCAAAGTAAAATAAAGTGCATTGCCTGGTTAGTTACAAGCGTAGGCTAGGCTAGGGTGGCTAGCAACCAAGATTTATTTGTTTGTCACTAGACCATTTTGGAAGATGTGAATAACATATAAAAAACTCAAATGATAAATTCAGTTCTTATTTTAGGGGAAGAATTTACTCCACATAATGAAAATGGCTTGAAGAAGTCAAGGTATTTGCAATACAGTATGTAGTGCCCTGCAAACCCAGCTCTAAGCCAACAGAGGAAGGGCATTTGAAACATTTATGGCTAATCCTTCCATGTTGCTTCTTGGAAGTTTTAAAGGCAGGATTTCTTTGGAAGTGTGTGCCAGTTGATAGCATATAATTTTTTGATTGCTCATTAAGATGGTTATTAAGCATCCTGAAGTATAGGCTTTCATTTTGTTTTCATGGTTATCAGTATGAAACATTCTCTTTGTAAAGTGCCTACTGTCCCAAGGCTAGCTTCATTTCAGCTGAGATTTCCTTGCATACTCTTTTCTTCAAAGGAGGCTTTTTTTCAGAATCGGTTTTCATGGTCCGATTTTTCACAAGTGAATCAATTTAAAACATTAATTGGGAGACGGCATCTTTTTTCTTCCAAACTAACTTTAAAAAAACCCCAAACACTGAAGGTATGATCAATGTCCAAATACCTTGCTATTGCTTAAATGGCAAGGACAATTATGGGTTTTTTTCTAGTGTCAAATAGTGTTAAACATGTATATATATCAATTCAGAAAAATCATCAATTTGGGCTTGCACAAGGAAGTTAGGGAATAAGTAGTGTTGTTATCCACCATAAATCATAGCAGACCCAGTGTCAGTGTTTGCCTGGAAAACCACAACTGCATCTGTTAGGCTTAGAGCTGTATATATGTATATACATATATTCAGCCAAGGGAAATCTGATGGCACATCTGAAATGACTACGTTTGGATCATTTCAGTGGGCAGAAGTTCACCAATTGTGCCCTTCCTTTGCACAAGTCACCTGCACTCTTATTCCTCCTTCCCCTTTCTTCTACCCACCCCCGAATGGCCTCGAAGGCAGATACGGACAGAGCAGTGCTTCTTCCAGCTTACGCTTTCGTTGCAATAGCCTCTTTGTGCAAGAGGTAGAGAGAAGTGAGGGTTTCTTCGCATTAAGGAATTCAGGGGCTGTGATTTTGCTGTGAGTCCTAATCTTCGACTTCTTGGAATGCCAAAACCTTTTTCCTCTCACTAAATGCATGACTTTCTGAGAGTTGTGCCAGTTGTTGCTCAGCAAACCATGCAGATGCAAGACTTGATGGCAGAGCAAGGAAGACTCTCTTTTCTTCTCTGTCCCCAGTCCTAAAATGAGAGCCATTTTGTGATAATACACCAGCCATTCAAATATATATCTTTAGATATATATATTGCACAAGAGCTGAGTCCAAAGAGTGGATGTTTTTCTACCTGTGGATCTGATCTCAAGAGATCTGAGCAGCTCTTACAGAAGTTTTATAACCACTGGGGTCTGAAAGCCTTTTCCGCTTTGTAGAACTGGGTTGTCAGAGACTGTAACTAGTGGCATTGCATTGCTATGTGATGAATATACCTTAAAAGTTCGTTTGTCAGCAGTGTTGTGTTCCGCCTTTCCCTGTCCTCAGTCTCCAAAAATTTCAGACTCAACTCATAATAAATTCCACTTTATAGATGAGTGAGTATGAAGCAGCTTAGCAGCAGGGAGTATGTGCTTTACATTCGAACATAATGAGTGGTTCTAATTTATAAACTATAGCTGTGGCTGAGAAATCCTGTAACCCTTTAATCTCAAATTATTTATGGCTTTTTCTTACTTTTTAATAGATTTTTTTTCTTTTTTCTTTTTTTTTCTTTCACCTGAGATGCAGGAGAGTTTTCCCACTGCTGCATCATTCAGTGTGTGACAGGATAAGGGGATATTAGTTTCAGAACAGTGCTTTGTGACGTTTTTTTTAATGGAAAGGAATTTGTGATGTGTATCCTGTCAGATCTATTTGAATAATTCCTAAAAGACTAGTAAAATTTGACCTTTGCTGCCAGTAATTATCATTGTCCTTGAAATTAACATAACAAATCTCTATTTGCATTTTTTAAATTGATTATAAATGTAATTTTTAAAGACTCAGTTGATGGTCTTTGCACCCACGAGCATCAGTGAGAATCTCCTGAAAATAAAATTTGCAGAATAAAACCCTCTTAGAATGACTTGTATACAAAAAGATAATTGTGCTTGTTCATTATCCAAACTACAAGGGCACACGTCTTATGGGCTTATAGCCATTTGATTCTTTTTATAGACTCGGCTATGGTTTGCTTAAATATACTGCTAGATTTTTTTTCTTGCAGTGCATTTTAATGATATCTGCTTTCCAATATACAAACTGTGCTTTGAAATATAAATGAGTTATGAACAAAGAAGTATCAGTAGATGTACTGTGTATGCTAAGGCAAGCCGTTAAGATGGATGCCAATAAACAGATATGCCCACTTCTAGGAACATTTTCAATGGGAATTTTCCAGAGATGGCTAATTTAATTGTATTTTTGTGCAACAATTAGGAGGGAATTACGATAGTTCTTTCGACGCGGAGAAGGGAGTGGGCACTATTGTCATTGCAAAGCCCTTGGATGCAGAGCAGAGGTCAATATATAATATGACTGTGGAGGTCACCGATGGAACAAACATTGCCACGACTCAGGTAGAATATCACATTCCTTTCTTGGCAAGCTTTTCATTTGTTAGTGGAATGTATATGCTATAAAAATTAATAATTTTGCCATTCCAATAAAACCTCATCCTTTGAGACCACCGTTAACTAATGGAGGAGATGTTTTTCAGAGCCTTTCCATCTGGTTGTAAAGAATCGGCTGTTGAAGGTTTCAAAGGGTTATTTCTGCTTTTGTCCTCTTCGGGCTCACACGAAAGTAATTCGCCTTTCTCAAGCTGAGGGAGTCCCTATCACAGGCAGCAAAGCTTAGATTTTGACAATTGTATCACCCTGTAATGGTCCAAAATACAATAGTGCTTCTGTGATGTTGGGGAATATTGCTATTGATTGTATTAAATGGAGTTTATACCTCTCATCCTCCCAAGACCCAAATGTGGGATACAGGATCAATTGTGCAGACAAGAAATTGTTCAGAGGCGAAACTTAAAATTCAAAGAATCTCTTCTTTAGCGTCATTGCCTGTGATTACATTGTCTTCTGGGGAACAGCCTCAGCGAACCCTTTAAAACCAGTCTTGCTTATCAGGGTCAGTGCCTTTCAGCAATTAAAAAGTCAGGTCAGATAAATGTGAAGGGCTGGGATAACGCTGGCTTTGACACATCCTTGTTGGAGACACCCCGACGTAGACCCTGGGTATCTGTTCGGTGGGAACCAGTCTGGAGATTGGACATGGTCAGGGTCATGGCACAGGGACAGGGACTCTGGGGTCCAGGTGGCATCCGGGAGACTCCAAAGAGGAAAGTCCTTCAATACGAGGTGGAGTTGTGGGGTATGGATTAGCTAGAGCCTGAAATCCTCCATCTGAATGACTGCACAAGTGTAAAGTGTGCCTATAGCCTGGGTATTATTTAACACATAGGGAAAAATACGTACTGGTAGAGGACACCTGTGTGCAGCCTCAAATCCCAGATTAAATGTGGTTTATAGAGGAAATGAAAAGATAGGTTTGGGATTTTATTTGCTTCTTTATAATGCAGAAGGAAGGCCTGAATATTTTTTTATGTTTACATATATGCATGCACACCCAGATGCTTCTGTTTTACCTTGTCTTGTTGCTCAAATGGTTCAGATGTAAATCTGTATTCACTGAGTCACACCATCAACTTTCCTAAGAGACTGTTAAATCATTGAGCGCTTTCTCAATCTGAATTCCTGTTTATAAACAGCCCTAAAATCTCTGAGTATCCCTATCTGATAATTTCTCCTGATAATCCACTCTTGATGAGAAAACATCAGTTGATAGTAAGTTACGTGGTAGGAAATCTGCTATTTTCCCTGTTAGTTTCAGTAATTAATTGCATCTCTGGCAAAAACATCCCTCATTTTTGACTTGATTTTATCTGGCCTGTATTCCCTGTTATGCCTTTCTCTGCTCGATTAAAGAGCTCTTTAAAAACCTGTATTTTCTCCCCAGGAAGGCACTTACTCAGAATAGTCTAATCACCTCCCAGTCTTCTGGTAGACAAGTGAAGGAGAATGACTGACCTCTTTACGTTCCCTTTCCATAAGGCATTTTCTTCAGCCCTTGAGTAGCTTTTTGTTTTCCGTTGTTTTCTAATCTTGACAACACTCTCAATCCACATTTCAGAAATGTGGTGTTGAATCCCTAACACTGCATTTTTTTTTCTTGTGAACATTTCAGCCAGACAAATATTAAAAAGCACAGGGAATTTCAAACATGCTGGATACAAGTAATTTCTCTTCCATAGATATTATGTTTATTGTTTTTTCTGCTTTTGATTTAATAAATCGGCCCCTATGACAGTCCTCAAAACCTATTTTGATGAAACCCCTACATTTTTAATTCAAACATATGGTAAAAACATATTTTGGTAAAGCTGTTGCATTCTAAAAGAAGCCTGAGCATTCCTTGCAAGAGTGATGTGACCTATTTAAAAACAGAAAATAGTCATTGAAGATTGCAATAGTATAGCATTAGATAATCATCGGTGGGTACAGACCCTTCTTTCCTCCACCGCCTTCTCTCCATGTGGAAACTGTTTAAGTATTTAATTGTGGCCCAGACAACATCTAAGAATGTGTTTCTTTTGGTCGTCGCAATAGAGGTTTTAAAAGCGATCATTATCTCAAAGCTGCCAGAATTATGGCCTGCCTAATTATCTCTCCCTTTTACAAAACTTTCATACTGTATTTTTGACTGTACTTTGGAGCCTTTGGTGACCTTATTCATCTTTATTTCCTTTTAGAACAATAATAAAAAACCCGAACTGATAGGCTAAGTAAAATATGTCATAGAAAGAGTCAAAAAAAGCATCTGCTGATGGCTCTCAGTGGCCTTGTTCTAAGTTTTGATAAAATGACATTGGAAGTATTTTGCCTCCTGTATATAGTACCACCTGCATTTTTAACTATAGCTGCAAGGAGATATGGCAGAAGAGGAAGAGGGGGGAAAGCAGAAGTATAAATTCATCCACTTGTATAACAATAAAATAATATAAAGCCCCTCCCAAAGTGCGATGGTTTATTATGAAGCAGCTGATCATTGCCGTGCCAAATGGAACAGTCTTGCTTTTTATTCTACCCCACCTGTTTCCCTTTATCTCTTCCTGGCCTTTTGTCTATTACACAGTTGGAGGTGGTAAAATACAGCGTAAAAATGCCAAAGATTTTTGCTTCGGTAACACGATCCCTGGCAGGGACTCACATAAGTTTCTTCAGCAATGTTCCTGCACGCCTGAAACTCCGATAAACTGTTTGCTTCCTTCATGCCTCACTACGCACATGGTTCACTATCGCGAGAGGAAGGAAATAATTTTGATTTAAAAGTCACATCTGTTGTATTAGCAGTTTGCTGTTGTGAAAAGAGGTGAAAAGAACGTAAAGAATATTTAAAAAAAAAAAAAAATTAAAAACTTCCTTTGTCACTGAAAGCCTGTTTGGTTTGGGCATCATCAGGATTGTAAAAAGGAAACTAGTCTCCGAAGGGAGAAGCAAAGTGCCAGGAGTTGTTGAGCCACTGCCACTTGCCGTGCTGCCCATGCAGCTGAGCCCCAGCCATCCCCGCAGCACGGCCGTGGTGGGGCAAAGACGAAGAAATGGTGACTCTCTTGATTTATATGTTTGGAGTGTGGGTATAACGCTTCTGTCACGTTGATTAACTTCTAGGAAGGCTAAGTCTCCTGACTTAGCCAGGGAGAGCTTTTGGGTTTTTTCCTTAGCTTAATTCATCGTTGCTCAAGGCCACACGGTAATTTATTAAAGCTGAAGGCACACGTTGGCTCTAAATCCCTGCGAAACGCGATTCCTGCAGCTGCCAGACGAGCTGTTGGCCTTGGGGAGGGGACGGGGCTTCTGCACCCCACGCGCTGGAGAGCGCCGGGACAGCAGCTCCGTGCAGTCACCCTGCTCCCCGCCACCGCCACCACCTCCCTTGGGCTGCGCAAGGGCCTCTTGCCCTCCCTTGAGCAGAGAGAGGAACGTCCCAGCAAGAAATCAGTGCAGTGGCACCGAAATGCACACTCCTGCCACAATTTCGACTGACTGTGTAACGTTAGAGATTCTCTTGGTCATGAGTCAGGTTTATCCCAAAGGCTTTTTTTTACTGAACGACTCAGATCCTTTACATCCAAGCACAGCATAGGAATAGCATTTATTTACTTCTCTGTAGCGCATACTGTGGAGTTTTACTCAAATACCCACAGAAGTACAGTACAGTGGGGAACAATCATCTAAGTGATGACAACTTTTCACTTTTATCAAGAATGTTGTACTAGCAGATAATTATTTTTTTTAAGAACAGCCTCCTAGAGTCATGGTATTATATGAAAAAGACAGTTTTACTTCTTGCTTATTTTCTTGCCACCTTCTTTTTCATCATCCTAACTGCTATAAAAAAGATGCTTTAAAGTGTGAAGGCTGATGTTTCCAAGCTAGGAGGCAAAAAGTGCCTCAGTTTCACTTATTGCAAAACCATCTCACTTTCCCAGTAGAGTGGACACTCAGAGAGGAACAGGCAGCTCCTTCTGAAAAGTTTTTGTAGATCAATACATGGTTGCTTGTAATACCTTCGGCTGGAGCCAACTGGGCTGGAAGAGCAGACAGGAGAAGCCACTGCTCATTGTCCCTTTCTGTCTCTCCTTGCAGAAGGATGTGGACTTTTATTTCTCCTTCTCTCAGGATTGGTGTTTAGCTGCGAGTTTCAGGATACCAAACTTGGTGTCACCTTTCAGAGAACACCTTTTCTTTGTAAGATTGTTTCTTAACCAAGAGGAGCTGATCAATCACCCTGAGTGAGGGTGGTTCTTTTAACTGAAGAGTGAAAAGCTCTTCTTAGCGGACCGTGGCCAAAATGTAGATAAGATGTTAGAGCCCACCAGAAGAGGTTCTGGGTTGTGGATTCTTCTAGAACGGACAAGAAGACATGGTGTTTCAATTCAATTTTTCACTTTTGGTCAGTTGAATGTTTCCTCCAAACTACAACCAACCCAATCCTTGATTTTTTTCTGTCCCATCCAGCAATCTCAGCACTGCCTTGCCTGTGAAACAAAGACCTTTTTCCCCCATTTTAACGTAACACAAGGGGCACGCTAAAGTATAAATAACAGGCCACTGAGGTCAGTAGGGAAACTGTTTGCATTTTTACATTAAGGTTGGGGTTTGGGAGAGAGAAAAACTTGTCAGGAAGTAGCAAATAAAGCTGTGTGGTAACACTATTGAAAGCAATATTAAATCAAAATAGGTTTTCAAAACCCGTACAAAAGCGTAACCTGAGTTTAAGCAATTCAGGCACTTAATAGGTTGTACTACAACACTGTGCCCAGACCAAGCAATTAGCCAAGCAGATTCTTCCAGCTTCAAATGTCTCTAAAGCAGCTCCTGGCATTTATCCAGTTTTCACTCCAGTACATTTGTGCCTAAACCAAAGGTATTTGTGATGGGCAACATTAAAAACAGCTTTGGAGAGACTTCCTGCATTAGGTTTTGTCCCACTTTGATTTGATTGTATTTCTCCAGGCCTTTCACTTGCCATTTTGAATACAAAGTCTTTGCTAATGCTCTGAGTGTTACTTTGCCTAATTTGTAAGCTTGGAGGCCCATGAATCCTTTATTTGAAACTTGCTTTAACTGTGGGAAATAGGAAGTGAACAGGGAGAAGCAAATCTTTTATAGCGAGGTGCTTGTTCGGACTATAAATTAGGCTCTGCACAATGGAAGCAGAAGGAGGCAAGCCTGCTTTTCTGAAGCCAGCGACGGGTTGGAAAAGATGAGCTTTCAAGGATAACCAGGCAGAGACTGCTTTGCTGCATGTTTGCTTTATGAGCATGGAAAAAAGACTTGCAGCTAATGTTTGTCTATGAAAAGTGGTTTAGTCAGTAACCTCGCACAGTCCTCAGCGAAGAGGAATCCCTACTTAGCAGGAAACAAATAGTAAACATTTCCATTTGTCACCTTTTGGAGATGTCTTGGGAAACTTTCAAAGCCTGTCTTTGATTCTACATAATGGGTATTGTCACAGCTTAACACCCCAGGCACCTCCACAGTGATAAAGGATATTTATGCAACACATCTCATACTTGCCATATCTTCTGTTTGGAAATAAATATGAAGAAAGTATTAAATTACACATACACTGTGAGTCTTTGAGTTTCTTCAGTAGGGTAACACTTGATTTGGGGTGAAAGATGTGCGACAGGCTGACTAAAGCTTAAGGCTTCAAGGAGCAGAGTGCTGGCCCTTTTGAAGTCACTGGGAAATTTGCCAGTAGTACCAAGATTTTATGCCTAAGTTTGGCAGCCATTTAATGAATTTGAGTAACTTTCCTCATATTAACGATCTGGTGGCATTCGGCTTGCTCAACATCACATATGTTTGTAGGATCAGGTTTTCTATAAGCCTGGTGTTCATGTCAGTGTAACATTTGTCTGTTATTAAAGGAAAAGATTGCCTCCTCTTTTTAAGTAACACCTTACTAGAAGTGATTCTGCTGGAGCAGGAAATCTTCTGCATAGGAAAGTGGCATTTTAAGTGACCTAATAAAAGGGGAGATGGCTCAAAAATAAACCTAAAACATCTTCCCCAGCTTTGTCACTGCACTTCTTATGTGGCTTTGGTAAATCATTAAACCTTGCTGCAAGACAGTGTTTTCCCAACAAAGGATGGGAATAACAATAGTCACTTGGTCCTCAAAAATGTTGTAAGGATTGAAGGACTAATATCTATTTAAATGACACTTAAGTTCCATTATATTTTACCTGATTTTGTTTCAAGTAGCTCCCAAGACAGTTAAATTTTTAAGAACATAAAAGAGTTCCATTTTCTCCTTTTCCGTAGCTCGTGGGTTTAACAGAGCTCTGTATAATCAGTATTCCCATATATAATCTAACTTTCCTTTGTTGTAAGGAAAATCCACCCCCCTCTAGTAAGGGAGAAACCGTAATGTTAAAATTACAGTTGACTCCCGGGGATTTTGAGGGACAGCTGACAAAAATTAGCAATACTCTTAACTGCTTTAATAGAAGAAATTGTGAATCAATAATGACCTCTTTACTCATTAGCATCTCTAACCCACTGCCTTGCATCTCCAGATGGAAGTGGCTGTTGAAATGCAGAGTATGTAATAAATAATGCGTATTTCAATGTGGATCACTTGACAAATCATTAAAATACTGTCATCTCTGGGGAGGAAGATGCCTGCCACTTAAATAGGCACTTGATCAGTTTTAGAGTAGACATGAAGTGAAAGAAAAGAAAAAAAAAGGAAAAAAAAAAAAAAAAGTTATTTTCTGGAAACTATCAAAGCTATTTTAAGTGCATAGTTCCCTGTAAATTTGATGACCACAGTGAATGAAGACCTCAATTTTTTCATCTTTTCCCCTCTCCATACCTCCCACTACCCAAGCACCATCATTGTCCATATCTGTGTGTCAGGGCATTAGCTTATACCTTTTTCAGTAGGAAGAAATGCTGCTTTGTGAATCCACACTATAATTTCCATAGTCTCATGGTTTACCCTTGGTCTCTGATGTTAATCCAGTCCCACCCTGTTTAGTTCATGCAGCCTAGTGAAGGCATAAATCAGAGAGCCGTGGCTTGCACAGTCACGGTGCAAGCTTTGTGGGGGATAAAGCTTTATGCCCTCCTCTGGTTTCCCAATTTGCCAGTGATCCCAAAATGCACTAGATATAATTGGAAGTGAACCCCAGCACGGGGGTGATCACACACCGTGCAAACAAAACAGCATGTCACCGCTGTAGCAGTACCTTTAAGACACTTTGGTGTGTATCGGTACATTTTTTTTTTTCCTTACAGAATAGATTGAGCTTGCACATAGCAATGTTAAAAACAAATTCACAGATACAAGCCTGTCCCTCATGTGGCACCTTACTTGTTCAAGGTAGAGCGTGTTGTGTTAGCATCAGCAGAATCAAATACTCTTGGTATTTTCAATGTAATCCGTTTGAAAAGTTTTTACTTCTCTGTTAGAGTATCTAAAATTATACATGACAAAGTTTTTTGGCCACCAGTTAAAAGTAAAATAAATTGTGGTGTTGTCTGTGTTAACAATGCAGCAGTAAAATAATCCACCCATGATACAATGGTACCTGGCAAGGACTAAGGGTATCAAAACTACTCAAGAAGATGCCTTTAAGTATTAAAAACTGGTAATCAGATTATCCCCAACTTTTATGACTTCAATGTCCTTTCCTTACAGTAACAAACATGGCTCAGCACTGGTTCTGTGTCCCTTTAGAATAGAGTTGAAGTCTCATTTCTTCCTTGGGCTTTCTTTCATATATTAACAACTCATTTCTTCACATATTTTTCAGATGTGGGTTTGGCTTTTTTTTTTTTTTCCTCCGTCAGGTCAGAAACACACCCTGATTATCTTGTGTAGCAACGACAAAAATATAAAAAGCTAAGTAATTCTTCATCATTATTATAGGCCCAGCAATGTATATTTCCCCCCAATTTTATTGCTATCTGCCCAAGACTGAAGCATAACTTAACACAGGCTTTGCCCTGCTTCACTCTGGCGTACCATAATCTGGTGAAAATTAAATCGTGTGGAATGCGCAGTTGAAGTCCTATGCCGTTTAACTTAGCACTTTATTTCAGCTGTCTTTTAAACAGTTCCCAGGCTAGTTCATTACGACTACTGCTTACAATTGCTCATGTTCCTTCTGGTAATGTGTTCTGCAAACCCTTCCACATATCATGGAAATCTAAAGTTTCATTTCTCTCTGAGGCCAACATCTGTTTGTGCAATATTGCAGTAAAAGTATAACTGTATTTTTCTTCTGTTAAGTAAGTATGGGTGAACAGGGCTTGATCAAGCAAAATAATAAAATATTTTCTTAAAAAAGAGCCATGTACTTTTCAGAACAACAGATAAAATATCATGAGGGATGTGTCAAATCTCCTCATCTTAGGGAAGAGTCCTGTGCATGGCCTTTCCCATGTCGTTCATTGGACTATTTATTATTTCAAAACCTTTGAGTAAAAAGATTGTTTCGTTTCACTCACTGTAAAATTAGATGTGTGCTTTCACAGGTGTATTCTGCAAAAGATACTTTTTGTTTCCAGTACTGCACAAGAGGCAACTCTTTGCATTTTGTCTTTCAGTATTACGTAGTTTGTCAAGGGTTTTGCTGCCCTGCTGCCCAAAGTAATCTATAGCATACAAAGTCTGGAAAGCAAATTTTCTCCAGGGAGTGACTCCTCCAATGATGAAAACCACAAAAACCTCATCAGAGCCACATACACTTAACATTGCACAGTCACATAACTTTTGAAAGGGAAAGCTTGGAAAATAGTGATTCTTATTAGTTACCTGGGTCAGCTTGTGATATATTGAAATGGGTGTAATAGGCAGCATCAGCAGCGTCCTGGCTGCCTTCCTCCTCTTTAGGGGTCAATACCGAGGTTTTAAAAACAGACTTGAAGCAAACGGCACAGCGGTCATTCACATTTTTAGCCGCAGTTCTACCATTCATAAACTGCAGCAGAAGGGAGGCAAATAGGTGTTTGAGGAGAAAGCGAATTAGTTGGCAATGCAATTGGTAGTACTTCCCAACACAATATATTGGGCAGAGAACAACACAGGATTTAGCCGAATCTTGATTGTATGAAAAGCAGATTTTAAGTAACATGAAACAAATTCTTTTATAGCTTTATTAATAGTGAAGGGAGAAGGAAATCCTAGAACAGCTCTAGAAGTCTCTTGTAACCAGCGCAGTTCCCATTCCTGCCATTGTAGGAAAATTTTTCAGTCTATAGATGCTGAAAATATGGATTTCTTTGTCCAGCTCTGAGTAGGTCTTTCTTACAGTTAAAAACATTTTGCCTCCAAAGTCATATCCTTACTATTTCTTTTGATCTGAACAGTAAACATTTAATACTAAATTATGTTTTTCAGCCCACCATACAACAGCACAACATCATCAGCTATCTAAAAATAAATTTCTCTATGTGCCTATTAAGTAATCCGACTAGACTTCAATAATTTCAAATGTTTTTCTTCTATTAACTGTAGGTTCTTATCAAAGTGTTGGATAACAATGATAATGGCCCAGAATTCTCTCACCCAACTTACGATGTCACCATTTCAGAGGACATCCTCCCTGATACTGAAATTCTGCAAATTGAAGCTATAGACAGAGATGAAAAGCATAAGTTGAGCTACACTATTCACAGCAGCATTGATACAGTCAGCATGAGAAAATTCAGAATTGATCCCAGCACTGGGGTGCTCTATACTGCTGAGAGATTAGACCACGAAGCTCAAGATAAGCACATCCTTAATGTCATGGTAAGAATGCAATATTCACTTGGCTCAGGACACAGTCACTGCTGCTTCAGGTGTGTACGTGCCTTGGTCTTTGCATGAGCAAAGGGCTCTTAGTGCAGTAAGTAGTCATTGATTTCATCTTGCTTGCCTTGCTGTGCATTTATTTTACATTTTTTATTTGGGATTTTTGGGAAACTTATTGTGAATTCATTGTATGGAATATGAATGATGTGCTATATCAAGGGACAGCAAGCAGGAAATTATTTAATCTCTTGGCATCTGGTCCTCTCACTCAAGGTAATTTTCAGAGTTTCTGAAGTGAGGCTGAAAGTTATTTGAGAAGTTATTCACAGGGAGATAACCGCTTTCTTGCCATAGAGAATGCTCTCTGAATACAAGCCTTTATCGTTCACTTTTACGGACTCATTTCAGTACATAAGCTGTCGATATACAAAATATCTTTCAGCTACATTTCCAAATGTTTGGATATGCAGAAAGAAAATTAATTACCATCCTTTGCTCAGTGTGCCTAAATTATAAAACATAAGCCTTTTTTCATGTGAAGGTTGTATGTTGCGGACTGGACGTTAATAAAAAAGAAAAAATCTGTGTTAGTTTAAACATTGTAGTCCACTGTTTTCTTTAATCACTTAAGAGTCCTGCAGAAGAGATCTTTGAAGGAACAGCTGGTGAAGTGTTAGGTGCAGGGCCATCCCTGGGTGCGGGAGCCCAGGAATCAGAGAGCTGCTGTGAGATCCAGTGAGCAGGACCTGAGTGGGGTCTCAGCTCACAGTGCAACAAGCTGCAAGTCCTTTGGAGAGCAGGCTAAGAAATAAATATAAACTGAAGCACAGAGACACATGGCTGTTGGAGGTCATTTCCTTGTGCTTGTGTTTGATCTCCACCTGATACAGTAAGGGTTTCGTTCTGCTTACGGAGAACCAAACTTTTGGGGATCATGTTGTCAGGATTATCAGTGTAGTAATGCTGAGATTTTTAGTATGGGGTTGAGAGGCGGGGTGATAAATGATACCTCTGCTAGGAGTGTCAGCACTTAAGGTAATTCCACTGTTTGCTAGTGGTATCGTCATCTTCAAAAAGGTATGTACATGTATAATGATGAAAAAATTCATTGGCAACTACAAGCACTAGACTGACACAGGACTGACCATAGTGGGTAAAATTGTCTGTAGCTCTTTGAAAGAAGGAACAGTGGGCAAGGTATGTTTGCCTCTATGCTATAAAGCAGGGATTGTCAGGGCAAAGGCATTACCATTTAGCATCTATTTTAAAAAAAAAGTATTTCTTGCAAACCTAAAACTGAATTTACAATGTCATGTGGTTGCCAGTTTAAAAATTAATGTCATGATGAATAGATGCCATGCATTTTTTCACAGGTCAAAAAAAAAAGTCTCTAAGATCTTCCTGTTTCTTTAATTTTACTATGTACCATCTTGTGTGTGAATGTATTTTAGACTGTTCTTTGGGGAAAATAGATTTTTTTTATTACTTTGTGTTAAATAGAACTGAAAATATTATTAACACTTATATTTATGACTAATATTCATGAAGTTTTACTAGATGCATATCAAGAAGTGTCTTCTGCAATTGTTCTATAGGTCCGAGATCAAGAATTCCCTTATAGAAAAAACCTGGCCAGAGTCATCATAAATGTGGAAGACTCCAATGACCACAGTCCATACTTCACCAGCCCGTTGTACGAAGCCTCAGTGTTTGAATCAGCAGCAGTTGGATCAGCCGTCTTGCAGGTCACGGCTTTGGACAAAGATAAAGGAGAAAATGCGGAGCTTATCTACACTATTGAAGCAGGTTAGAACAGAGGCTGAAAATGTAGCGTCATGATTCATGCAATATACAGAGCAGTGTTGTGATGGTGGCCCGTCTTGACACACAAGTCAACTTCTTTGGTCTGCCCTCCTCTGTAGAGTTGGGCAATGGAGACACCTTCTTGTTGGCTGTTTTTTATTTTGAAGCTGTGATACCCAAAACCTGTCAGAACAGAACCTCAGTCATGGTCACGAGATGGCTACAGAGCCTTTTACCTCTAAGTCATTGGTTCAAAACCATCACAGAAGGTAGTTATTGAAAGCTACAGCCAGTGACATGTTTTCAGGTTGCTGGCTTCAGTCTGGTACACAGTGGATCCTCCATAAACAAAAGCCACCACAGCTGGTAGGTCCTGACATCTGTGCAAATACTTGGATCAGAGGAGCACAAAGACTAACACCAGGGCTATGCTAAAAACTTCTGCCAGTGGACCTGTGTCACTTTAGTGGCACAAGGTCTCTTGAAACTAAGGGAGGGCACGGTGATACCAGATTAAAATTGCTTTTGCTGTTAAGATGTAGATATTTACATTCACCACACAGTCTGTACCAGCAAAAGCATTCCTCTGCTGGTGTAACAGCACGGCCATGGGAAATTTGCATTATCTCTGCCACATATGCAAATGAATGTGACTTTGGCTTATACGGACCTGAGGTTAAGAATTATCTCTGAGATAAATCATTAACATACATGCAAGAGGAGTGCCTGGAAAAAAAAGAGAAGGAAGTAGAAATTTATAACCTTTGGATTTTTTAATGTTTCATTTCTAATTTTTTTTTTTTAGTAATGTGAATCTTTCCATTGTAATAATAGCAAAACCTGAAACCTATATTGCCCTAAAAAGAAGTCTCATTATTAATCAGGTCACAAGACTTTCCCAAGATTAGGCTCTGATCCTACAGGATCATTATTTATCCCTATGTTATAATAAAGACTTGCCACTAACTAGGACGGTTTACATCAATTAGGAGCAAGCTAAATGACAAAAAAATAAGTAATGGAATATCTACACCATCTCATATTGTCTTAACTTTGTATCGTTCAAGCTTATACCTTAAGTTAAGCTGATGTAACCTGAAGCTTAGAGGAGACCCAAGGAACTTTCTTCTGTCATTACCCTGTATGCTCTGTGGCAGTAGAGTCCCTTGAGCAAACCAGGAGGTGAAGTCTTTTGCAGCTAAAAGTGCTGAACTTAAACCCTTGTGATCCTACAAAGATCTAGCAGTACAAAACAAGTATTTCCATTATACACTGCATTTGGTCTTACCAGTTATTTCTCAGTATTCTCCAGTGGCCTTTAAGTCTAAATCAGGGAAATTTTTACACATGCCCAGGGACAACACTGTGCCTTACAGAAGCTATTTCCAGCTTTTTCTTGACACCTTCTTACTGTTATGGGCTCCAACTCAATCACCTATAGGTGCCACCACAATGTAAAGAGCAACCTGACATGGTAGGAGTATGGTTCCCATACACTGGTGATAGAATCATACAATGATGCAGACAGAAAAAAATGATGATTAGAAAGGATGTTTTAGCTATTAGATGGTCCTTTTCAGTCTGCATGTTTTTATCTTTTCTAGAGACTCTGTCTTCTATTACAGCCTGTTTCTGTTTCATCATGAGCTCTCCCTGTAGAGTCAGACTTCAAACTTCCATTTACTGCAAACCACGCACTCCTCCAGTTTCATTATCCACAGATGTTCCCAGATGCATCAAAATTCAGTTTTCTGCTGCTGTAGTTTCTATGATCCATAAAATCTGCAGTTGAGGATACTGATTTTAACTGCAGCATTCAGATTTACACATTCATTCAGGGGAATTACTTACATCACCTTTTACTTACATGTGAAAAGAGCAATTGGCAAAGAAAGCTTTTGTGTACTTTCATGAGAAATTCCTAAAGGAGAAGAACCAGCTCTGGCCTTACATGAGGCCGTCAGTGGCTAAAAATTATTTGTATTAGCCAGCACTGACAAAATAACTGCAGCAGCATTTGTAGTGTCTGCAAATCTGACAGATACTGTGATCTTTATGAGAATTTGTAGCTTTGGCAGAACCTCAACTCCTTGGTGAATAGCACAATTTTTGGTTTAGCTAGTAGAGTAAACTTTACTGATCTGAAAGAATGGATATAAATAGAAAGCCACTACTAGTATTGAACTACATACAGTAGTATGTAGCTTAAATTAGCCTCCAAGCCCCAGAATTTACAACAGATAGTGAATCACATCTTAAAAATAGTTCACATCATTAACTCACTTCATTTAGGATTCCATGTATTGGTATTCCAGCTACAATTTTCACATTTACTTCTTTGTGCACAGCACCTGTAACAAGCACCATTTGAAGAAAAATCTCTTGTTTATCACCAGTTACCTGAGACATATTTCTCTCCAGGTCATAGATGAATGTTTGACTGCAGATTGGAAGCAGTTCTAGATTTTAAAGCATAAAATACAATAGCAGGAACATGTTTTAATGACTGGAATCACTGTAACTCAGTACATGCTGTTTGTATTTAGAATCAAATTCAGAAGAGTCGTCTGTATGCTTACACGTGCCATATACACTCACAGCATCCTATGCTTTAAGCAAGCACTCAACCAGCAAAATACAGATTGCCTAATAAAGGTGATCACTAATTACAGGGTAAGGATACATATCAAAAGTTTTGATTTCTTTCTTGCTAAAGAAGAGGTTGGCAAAAAGACTAAAAAGAAAAAAAGACCCCAAGGAAGGTCCTTGATCCAAACTCACTGTTTTCGCCTTTATGCAGTCGGTGATATCCCTGCTTTCATGTTATAACAGGCATTTCATGACATTTGCTGCTAAATCTCATTCATCTAGATTCATCCTCCTCAGAGATCATATGATAAATCTTTGTGCCACAAGATAGTTGAATCTCTTTTCTATGCTATTTGTTCTATTTTTCTAAATGCCACTTTAACCTTCTTATATTCAGTTCTTTCAGTCTTGAACTACTGTAATCTTCTCTACGGTTGTTTAATATCCTCTTCAATTAAGAGCCTGAGTTGTTATCCATTTGTCATGTAATTGGCTTGTTAGCCTCTGATCTAGTTTCTTTGCCTTAGGTGTACATTTATTTGACTAATTCCCATAATTTAGGGATGCTTTTTCCTACTTCAGTAGGACTAACATACATGCAGCACTTAACTCGGATGTTGATACTCAGAATCAAGAGTATCAAGGAGCTCCTGAGTTTCTGAAGGTGTGAACACCTATACCGTCGACTGAGAAACCTGATTTTCAGAAAGGAAGGCTGGAAGGGCCTTTAGAATTCTTTTATGTTGGTGTTGGTTTGATTTTTTTTTTTATAACTGCCTTTAACAAATTGCAGCTAATTGCTCCTGGTTTAAATTATCATTAAGTGTGTTGTATTTAATTTCTAATTTGCTTCCAATATTTGTTTTTTAGGAAATACAGGAAACACATTCAAGATTGAACCAGTTTTAGGGATCATTACATTACTGAAGGAGCCAGACTTAACTGCGATGGGACAGTTTGTTTTGTCAGTCAAAGTGACTGATCAAGGTTCTCCACCGCTGTCTGCAACAGCAATTGTGCGGATATCTGTGACGATGGCAGATAACTCCCACCCTAAGTTCACTCTCAAAGAGTACCAAGCGGAGATTAATGAAAATGTGGATATTGGTACTTCTGTCATCTCTCTCTCTGCAATCAGTCAGTCCACGTTAGTTTATGAGGTTAAAGATGGGAATGTGGATGGAGTCTTCACTATAAACCCATATTCTGGAGTGATCACCAGTCAAAAGGCCCTCGATTATGAACGTGCTTCCTTCTATCAGCTCATCGTACAGGCAACCAATATGGCAGGCATGGCATCAAATGCTACTGTGAACATTCAGATTGTTGATGAAAATGATAACCCACCAGTTTTTCTCTTCTCTCAATACTCGGGCAGCATAAGTGAAGCTGCTCCTGTAAATAGCATAGTCCGGAGTGCGAATAACAGTCCCCTCGTGATACGTGCCACTGATGCTGACAGCAACCAGAATGCTTTACTTGTCTACCAGATCGTTGAATCTACTGCAAAAAAGTATTTCACGGTAGATTCCAGCACAGGTGCAATCAGAACAATTGCAAATTTAGATCATGAAACAATAGCGCACTTCCACTTCCATGTGCATGTTAGAGACAGCGGGAATCCCCAGCTTACAGCAGAGAGCCCAGTTGAAGTGACCATTGAGGTAACTGATGTCAATGACAATCCACCAGCCTTCAGCCAGGCCGTATTTGAGACAGTCTTGCTCCTGCCCACATATGTTGGTGTTGAGGTTCTCAAAGTCAAGGCTACAGACCCAGATTCAGAGATCCCTCCTGAGCTAACATATAGTCTAATTGAAGGCAATATGGACCATTTTTTAATTGATTCAAGCACAGGGGTACTCACCATTAAAAACAATAGTCTCTCCAAAGACCATTACATGCTAATAGTAAGAGTATCCGATGGGAAATTTTATAGCACTGCTATGGTGACAATAATGGTAAAAGAAGCCATGGACAGTGGGCTCCATTTCACACAAAATTTTTATTCCACTTCTATCTCAGAAAATAGCACCAATATTACAAAGATTGCTGTGGTGAATGCTGTTGGTAACCGCCTTAATGAGCCTCTGAAATACAGTATATTAAACCCAGGCAACAAATTTAAAATCAAATCTACCTCAGGGGTCATTCAGACAACTGGCATCCCTTTTGACCGAGAGGAACAAGAGCTGTACGAGTTGGTGGTGGAAGCAAGCCGTGAACTAGATCACCTTCGTGTCGCTCGAGTGGTAGTGAGGGTTTACATTGAGGACATAAATGACAATGCCCCAGTGTTCGTAGGGCTTCCATACTATGCTGCTGTGCAAGTCGATGCTGAGCCTGGTACCCTGATCTATCGAGTGACGGCTATTGATAAAGATAAGGGTGAAAATGGTGAGGTGTCGTATCTTCTGAAGGAAGACTACGGACATTTTGAAATTGATAGAGGATCTGGTAGCATCACTTTAAAAGAAGCCTTCAATTCTGATTTGTCTAATATAGAGTATTTGGTTGTCATTCTTGCAAAAGATGGTGGTAACCCATCGTTGTCTGCTTCGGTAGAACTCCCCATTACAATTGTTAACAAAGCAATGCCTGTATTTGACAAGCCCTTCTATACAGCTTCCGTGAATGAAGATGTAGAAATGCACACACCAATTTTAAGCATAAATGCAACCAGTCCAGAAGGCCAGGGTATCATTTATATCATTGTCGATGGAGATCCCTACAACCAGTTTAATATCGACTTTGATACTGGAGTTCTGAGTGTCATCAGCCCACTGGACTATGAAATAAATTCTCTTTTCAAGCTGATGGTGCGAGCCAGCGATGCCCTCACTGGTGCTCGAGCTGAGGTCACTGTGGACTTGATCATTAATGATGTTAATGATAATCCTCCAGTTTTTGATCAGTCAGCTTATAATGCTACTTTGTCTGAAGCATCTTTGATTGGGACTCCTGTACTGCAGGTTGTTGCTATTGATGCCGACTCTGACAATAACAAGATTGTGCAGTATCAGATAGTCCAGGACACCTTTAACAGCACAGACTATTTCCACATAGACAGCACCAGTGGCCTAATTCTGACAGCCCGGATGCTGGATCATGAACTCATACAGCAGTGCAGCTTGAAAGTCAGAGCAACTGATAATGGGTTCCCACCACTAAGCAGTGAGGTTCTTGTTAGTATCTCAATAACAGATATGAATGACAACCCTCCAGTTTTTAACCAGTTAATATACGAATCATATGTGAGCGAACTGGCGCCTCGGGGTCATTTTGTGACTTGCGTCCAAGCCTCTGATGCCGACAGCTCTGATTTTGACAGACTGGAGTACAGCATCCTATCAGGAAATGATCGGACCAGTTTTATTATGGACAGCAAGAGTGGTGTTATCACCCTTTCCAACCATCGCAAGCAGAGAATGGAGCCCATGTACAGCCTAAATGTCTCTGTGTCAGATGGGCTGTTCACCAGCACAGCTCAGGTGCACATACAGATCCTTGGGGCCAACCTCTACAGCCCTGTGTTTTCACAGAGTGTTTATGTTGCAGAGGTTAGAGAAAACGCTGCTCCTGGAACTAAGGTAATCCATGTGAAGGCAACAGATGGCGATTCAGGTGTGTACGGACAGATAAGCTACTCCATAATAAATGACTTTGCCAAGGACCGATTTTTGATCGATAGCAATGGGCAGATTCTCACAACTGAGAGGTTAGACCGCGAAAATCCTCTGGAAAGTGATATCGGTATATTTTTGAGAGCCCTTGATGGAGGTGGCAGGACTACATTTTGCACTGTGAGAGTGATAGTAGTGGATGAGAATGACAACGCTCCTCAATTTATGACGGTCGAATACAGAGCAAGTGTCAAAGCAGATGTTGGGAAAGGTTACTTGGTGACCCAGGTGCAAGCAGTAGATCCAGATGATGGAGCCAATTCCAGAATTACCTATTCTCTATATAGTGAAGCTTCTGTGTCAGTAGCTGATCTGCTTGAAATAGATCCAGACAATGGATGGATGGTCACCAAGGGTAGCTTTAACCAGCTGAAAAACACCGTTCTGTCATTCTTTGTCAAAGCAGTTGATGGTGGCATTACTGTAAAGCATTCCCTCATTCCTGTCTACATCCATGTTTTACCCCCAGAAACTATGTTGCCTTCCTTTTCTCAACCCCAGTATTCTTTTACCATAGCAGAAGACACCCTCATAGGTAGTACCATTGACATTCTGCATGTTTTGCCTAATCAGGGTGCTTTGTATAGCACGGTTAATGGTGAGCTGACTGAAAACAACAAAGATGGGGTTTTCATCATAGAGCAAGACACTGGGCTCATAAAACTGGATAAGAGACTTGACCACGAGGCAAATCCTGCTTTTCACTTCAAAGTTGCGGCCACCATTCAATTGGACAAAGTAGACATTGTGTTGACTGTGGATGTGGAGGTTAAGGTTTTGGATGTAAATGACAACAAGCCCATGTTTGAAACAGCTAGCTATGATGCTATAATAATGGAAGGGATGCCTATAGGAACAAAACTTATGCAAGTTAAAGCAGTTGATGCAGACTCAGGTGCAAATGGGCAGGTCACCTATACATTTGCAGTGGAATCAGAGCTGGAGAAGATCACAGAGGCATTCACCATTGATAGCAACAGTGGCTGGATCAGCACACTGAAGGATCTGGACCATGAAAAGGATCCTGCTTTCACCTTTGCAGTGGTGGCCTCAGATCTGGGGGAAGCTTTATCCTTGTCATCAACCACCTTGGTCTCAGTTACTGTGACAGATATAAATGATAACGCACCCGTCTTTGAGCATGAGGTGTACAGAGGGTCAGTGAAGGAGAGCGACCCTCCAGGGGAAGTTGTGGCTGTTCTTAGCACCTGGGATGAAGACACGTCTGATGTCAACCGGCAGGTTAGCTACCATATTACAGGTAAGAAACAACTTGCATGCTTTCTTCCCAAAACCAGCTTTACTGAAGAGCTGTGCATGTGTCCAGTTTTAGGTGAACATTTAGCAGGGTTGCAGCTAAATTGTCACTGTGAATCAGACAATTACACCTCTCTGATTTTTTTTTTTTTTTTTTTTTAATTTGGACAGAATTTTCAGCAACTAGAAATCTAAAAAGAGGGAAAGGAAATGTATGTGTCTGTGTCTGTCTGTCTGTCTGGGTTATTCTCTCTCTAATTTTCAAGATTAATGCTTCATGATTTGCTGCAGTGCAATGTAGTGTGACCCAGCAAGCCATCATAATTGATGTGTCAGCTTGGAAACCATCATGACTTACTGTTTCAACCAAGGGAAGAAGAACATTTTATTCTTAAGGAGAGAATTCTTACATTTCCAAGCATTTAATTTTTTTTTTAAATAGCATTTTTCTTTTTGAGATAGGAAAGTACATGCAGGAGCCACTTTGAAATAGCACCATTTATGGAGGGGAAAAAAAGGAATGAATTTTACATTGGAAGGAGTGGGGGGTGCCATTTCGTATCAGCACAGATTTCTGGCCAGGGACATAATAATCCACTTAGAAGCACTGGTCAGTTGCCATGCATAGTTATATACAGCGTAAGGCAATTTCAATTACATTACTAACATATTTTTCAAAGTGTGGTAACATGGCTCTTTCCTATTGTGCTATATTTATTATTCTTTTCTCCTAGATTCAGACTGCCTTTTGTGTGAGTATGTATGTTATGAGTGATGGGATGCTGCAGTTATTTTTCTGCCTACAGCTTGCATTATCCAATAGATTTTGTTAGGGAACAACTTTGTCACTCCCCCCAACCTTCACAATTCAAGAGCTAATATTAATTGTCTGGTAATAACCAGATTATTAAACAAATTCACATTTCTCTCACTGGATAGGATTAGAATTACACAAGACTGCATGTAGGAAGCAGGCTATGGGCAAAAATGACTTAACTAACGAGATAACAGTTTGTATATTTTGCTGTGGAGGATAAGCCTCCTTCCCCTTCGTTAGCTATCAAATTGGAAGTGGCTGTGGGATGGTGTGTAGGTAGAGGTGTGACATTCCAGTTAGCCATAGGTTGCCTGTGTTACACATCAGAAGTAGCATCATTTTCAAAGCAACCAGAAATTAATTTTCACCATTTATTTGAAAGTCCGGATTCAGTTTGAAGATTTGCAAAGACTGTGTGTTTATAGTGTGATGTGTTGTAGGTTATTAGAAGTACAGGCAAAAATAGTCCTGTGGATAAAGCACAAGATTTGGAGGCTTTGGGCAAAGTCCATTAGCTGCCAGTGCCTCAGTTCCCACATGTCTGAAAGTAAATTAGTGCCTCATCCTAGATATTTTGTGATATTTGAAGGAGTTTGGGGATCCCGGTATAGAAAGTACTGTAGGAAATGCAAACTCTTCATGTTTGTAACAAAGATATGTTAGTATACCGTGATCGTTAGCTGAAGGTACTGTTTTTCTCTTTGTTCTGAAGTGTTTCAATCATTTCTTATAACGAATTATGCTTTTAGTTACATAATAATGTTTTCTTCACGTCCCTGTGCTGTTAATTTAGCAAACACTGGACTTTTGAATAACAACTGTCACATGAGACTCAAAAACTATAGATTATTCTGTACCTTAATTTCTATCACAGTTCAAAATATGTCAGATATTTTGCTGGTAATTTAGTTTCTGAAAACATGTCAAAGGCCAAAACTTTCTCTAATGTCTACTGTACAATTACTAAAGTGTATGAGCTCAGAAATTCCACTGTCTTTGAATATATCCTTTGAATTTGGGAAATGCACGCAGAGAAATTAGGTTCTTTTGATTAAAATGTCAAAACATATTAAAGTGTAGTTTAACTAATGAAATAGTCTATTCACACTTTACCTCAAGTTGCACTCAGGAACTGCACTTGAGTATTTCATGGAATCAGATTAGCTAGATGATTATTCAAATGCTGTGGCTTCCTGGAGGCATATCAAACCATAGAAATTTCTGCGAATACAATAAACGAACTCTGAGGAAAAACAAGATACTGACAGAAAGGGCGAAGGAAACAAATTATAAGAATGACATGTAGATCCACCAAAACCACTTTTGTGCAAATGCACCTGGAGAAAAGTAGCGCACGGAAGATAGGTGGAAAAAAAATCATCATTTAGGAGATGAAAGAAATAAATATTCTGGGTCAGATGTGAAGAGTCCTTTGCACTCTTTTGAGAAATACAAACAGTTTTTGTAGTCTTCTGGTCAACTTTGAAAAGGGGTAGATACATTCCGGTGGATAAATATATATTCCGTTTTTAACTCCTTCAGTTTAGGATTGCTTTACATGATCACTGGCCAGTAGTTGCCATTTTCAAATCCTCCTTCATCTGCATTTGATGGTGGGGGAAAGAATTTGGCATTTACCCTTTGTTATTTGTAGTTTGATAGCAGCTGGAGATGTTCACAGAGCAAAAGCACTATATATAAATCTTAATAGAAAATCAATAGAAAGTGCAGATGACACAAAGGCACTTAGGGAGCACAGTAGTTTTCTTTCGAAGGCTCATTTGAGGTCATCGCGTGTATCATTTGAGGCTAAAACCAGGGCTCTGCTGCTGTTTAGCTAGGATGTTTAGCCAGCCTAGACCTAACTGGATATTACAGAGATTTAACAGCAGTAAACTAGGAAGAGCCGCCAGAAAAATGTCAGTTGCTAAGACTTTGGTACAGTAAAGTGTTTTGTGTTCCTCGGTGATGTTAATTAGGCTCCATCAGGCACATAAATCTAACGACAGACAATAGTCTTTGAGCTTGGTTCAGCTGCAAACAAAGACGATGGACAGCGTGTTTTGGAAGAAAGAACTGGTGTTGCACACAGCAGGTTTTTTGCTGGGTTGATGGCCCAGTATGAGCAAAGTGAAGCTTTTTGTTTATTTTTATTTTATATTTGAGATCATGGAGTTGTGGAGAAATGGATGTTTCACTGGTTGGGGAGGACTTGTGCTGCAGGCTGAAGAACAGTGTCTGCAGTTTTATTGTAGTAAAGCTAAGAGGATTGGGTTTATCATTTCGGCAGCTCAGTAAACGTGCAACATCTTAAACAGGTAGTGGAGGACAAACCTATTGATTTTGCGTGATGCAAATGCCTAGAGTTCTAATTGGGAATTGAAAGTATCTAAATAAATGCATAAATGTAGGAGAGAAACTAAATAAATAAGTAAATATTCAGTTCCTCCTCCCAGATCGGGACATTGCAGTGAAAACTGATACTCTTGGCGTCTAGTTTTCAGTTCCCTTTTAGCCGTTATAATTCCCTCTGTGTGTGCTTTAGTAATGATGTGTGTCAGGATTTGTTTATTTTGGATCACTGTGTCTCTGCATTTCATTTGTATCTGGCTGTTTTCTTTCTTTACTTAAACTTGAGCTTGATTTGGCTTTGTACTATTTGCTGACTGGGGAGGGAGGGAGAGCATTATTTAAACTTCAAGTAACAAAAGATAAAAGATAATGCTGATTCTTTTAGCCTCAAAGCCTTTCTAAGAAGTTACTGGAGTGTTTTTTGTAGCTAGCACTTCACTGTTGTGACATTCAAAGTAGAACATAAGAAAACTGCCAAAAGATTTTAAAGAATCCATCCATACATGTAGTCAGGAGGCTTCCGTTTAGAAAAGCTACATTATTCAGAGTGAAAAACTAATTAATTAGAACGCCCCTAGGAAACTGAATCGGCTTACATATATTAGTGAAAAAGTTAATTAATCACTGCAGAATGAGATCTGCGTCAAGACTCATAAGTACTATAAGTACTAGAAAATGGTTCTCTGGGCCAGTGTGGATTTTTTTGCCTTTCCTTTTTTAAGACTATTTCCTTGATGGTATTTTAGTGGTTACATCTCATGATTTCTGTTACATTTTATAGTGCAACTTCCACCTTTGTCTTCCATCAACAAAGTATATAGCCAGTCCTGAGAAGCAAAAAAAAAAAAAAAAAAGCGCGCTAATGAAAAAGGCATGCAGCATGCAGATAAACTGCTACACACATGTTTGCTGCTTATTCCACAGGTTTCTTGGTCATTCAAATTGATCCTTTTCTAGAGGAAAAGGGATGCCAAGGACTTTTTTTTTTTTTACATACTCCCCAAATTCCTATGCATGATTTAAAAGCCATTCCATCAACAACAAAGCAACAGTGATTTTAAAATTGCTCCAAGCAAGTGTTACTGCCAGCCATAAAAGCCACCAGCTGATTTTAATTAGATTTTACCTTTCCTCTTTTCTTAGCAATGGGATACCCATACCTTGAGTGTATTGCTTCATAGTTGGTCGGGACAGTTAATCATTTCCTTTTACAAAAGGACTAATATGCAGGAAAGCACTGATTGATATCATGAAGCTAAATAAGAATATTTAAGACCATTTTTATTAATGGTTTACAACATTAAACTCACTATGACAAGATTACAGCCTTTTATAAAGGAGAGTTAAGCTTTTTTATGCTGGTGTTGAACTGAATAGAGAGAATTTAATGTCAATCAGCAGGGGCCTGCCTTCTTTGAAGTCACATTAAGACTCAAGTCACTGGACAGATTCGCATAGCCTTGGATTGTATTGGGGTCTGGCCTGTGGTGCACATCGACTTACTGTGTAACCCTCTTCAGGAGAAATGTGTGTTCATGTCACACAACAGATTAAACACAGTTTAACTGAGTCCTCTGATGACTATTCCGGACTGTCATAGAAATCAGTGGGAAAATTGGGATCTGCTTGGTTTTGTGATTGAAAAAGGTGATTTTCTGTCACAGAAAATAGCTGCGTTTAGTATATTGGTTTTGTGCTCTGTATGGTTAGAGGGCCTTTTATAATTATAATGCCTATCTATCTGACTAATTTTCTGGAAATCTTATTCTTTACAATGTGCTTTTGTGACACAGTTACAGCTAGCACAGATGATGATGCTTAGCAAGACAGATTTGCTCAGCCTGTCTCAACTGACTTACTTAGTTTTCATATTAAATAGAAACCAGTCTATCTTGTCATTGGTAGCTAACGAAGAAGACATAGATTACAGCCTGTGATCTCTTCTGCTTTTTGATGTAGAAAGAAGGTATGAAATGCGCATTAGATTTTTTTGCTCGGTTTTAAGCTCAGTTTCAAGTTCAGATCTTCTCTTCTTGTTTTGCTAAGAAGGTGCCTGGGAACTGACAGAATTGTGACACCAGAAGCAGCAACAGTGACACCTAATCGTTTGACAGCAGAGGCAGCTCAAATAAATTCAGCCTTGGATTTTTCTAAAATATTTATTTACTCCAACATTCAACACAACTGCTAGAAAGGAATGTTTAAGAACCTAGTCTTTCCATTGAGCTTGGACAGATTCCATAACACATGACAGGACCCTGAATAAGTTGTAAGCAAAAGTACACTAGCATGATTGACATTCTTGATCCTGTTACAGGAAGGAATAAGTATTCCCTTAATATTTCTATACCACTTTTATACATGAGAAACATGGAAAGTAGTTCTCAGATTGCATTTCTGCATGGGAGAGCACAGGAGAAAGTTTAATGTGGAGGGGAAAGAGCTACTAGCAGGTTAGCTGGAATTGAAGTTGACCCAGTAGAGCAGTGTGATGCTTTTTTCTATGTGTCCTCACGCAGTTTCTATAGCACATGAGTTTGCTATGACTTTAGTGCTCTATCCTAAATTATTGACTGTGCAGATATGTTTTTACAGACCAGAGTTATGTTAGACGCTGGGCACAGAAGACTGAGTAACTGGCTTTACTAATTTTGGCTGGGGTAGAATTAATTGTTTTCATAGCAGCTGGTATGGGGCTGTTTTGATTCTGTGACCAAAACAGTGTTGATGACACAGGGATGTTTTAGTGACTGCTGAGCAGTGCTTACACAGAGCCAAGGCCTTTTCTGCTCCTCACACCACCCCACCAGCGAGTAGGCTGGGGGTGCACAAGGAGTTGGGAGGGGACACAGCCGGGACAGCTGACCCCAACTGGCCGAAGGGATATTCCATACCATATGACCTCAACATATAAGGGGCTGGGGGAAGAAGGAGGAATGAGAGATGTTTGTAGTGATGGCATTTGTCTTCCCAAGTCACCATTACATGAGGTGGAGCCCTGCTTTCCTGGCGATGGCTGAACACCTGCCATGAATTCCTTATTTTGCTTTGTTTACTCATGCAGCTTTTGCTTTATCTGTTAAACTGACTTTATCTCAACGCACGAGTTTCTGTACTTTTACCCTTCCGATTCTCTCCCCCATCCCGCTGTAGGGGGAGTGAGCAAGCAGCTGCCTGGGGCTCAGCTGCTGGCTGGAGTTAAGCCACAGCATTGGTTTAAAGGATTTTACTGTCTGGTCTGACGGGGGGCTGAGATCGGGCTCAGAGAAAGGTGATTGAAGGTGTTTTCTTCATGGAGCAGGCAGGGCACTGTACCATTTCAGATGAAAGAGTAAATAACTGCTGGAACCATTAACAACAACTGTGCCCACCTTGATTATTGTACCCTTCTGCATGTGACGTGTCCTTCCTTCCTTCCTGAGAATGATGTGCACCAAAACTTTCCCTCTCCCAACCTGCTCTTGTCACCAGGCAATTTAATGATGTGGAAGACCAACATTGCCAGGTTCGGTGTCAGTGTTATGGCATGATAAAAAGCTGTTCTGCTTCGTCTCCTGCACTCCTTTCACCAGCTTTCACTCTTGGATACATTTGATCTAATTGTACTGCTTATCTTCCAACTGGTCCTCAAATGACCTCTTGTTAGGACTATTTAATACTAATGTGTCTGCCTGTGTAGTGTAAACTTTTTTTAAAACTAGAATTTTAATGAGCAGAACAGCGCAGCTGTATGATAAAGCTTTCATTAGAGGATTCCTTAATAGAACCCACTTCCAGTCCTTGATTGCATAATCAACAGCTAATGAAATTGTCTTGGTAACAAGAGCTACGGTGTATTACATCCTCTCCCGAGACTAAGTGGAAAGACAATTGTACCAGCCTGAGAGGACTATTGATTGTTCACAGTTTGAATTTGATTGCCCTTACGGGGAACTAAACAAGAGATCATCTTCAGCTCTGCTAAATGGATTTTGTTTCCACTGAAAGTTATTGGTTCACTTTCATACAAGGCGTTTGGGGGGCAATAAACACAGGGAGTGTAATCTCATTACAGATTTCCTGAGTCTGCAAGTTTGAAAGCACTGATCACTGTAAAACAAACGACGGCTGCTTAGTTCAGGTCCGCTGTGACGTGTCTGTGTGTTTAAACTAGATGGGAGCTCTGAAGGGATGCCCCAGCCCATTGCGTGTTTCTTGTCTCATTGCAGGAGGGAATCCCAAAGGAAAGTTCGCTCTGGGACTGGTTCAGAATGAATGGAAGGTTTATGTTAAAAGGCCTCTAGATCGGGAAGAGCAAGATGTTTATTATCTGAACATCACTGCCACGGATGGCCTCTTTGTAACCCAAGCTGCTGTGGAAGTGACCGTCACTGACGTTAACGATAATAATCCAGTTTGTGAACAGGTGAGTTAGCAACACCCATGGCAATTGACTGTTGTGTTGAAAACGATGGTCTCCCTATGGATGTCACTGCTATTTACACATATTTATGGTCTTAGCTGAAGAATATGGAGTGATCTGAGAGCAGGATGAGGCAGTCCTGTGAAGCCACGATTAAAGGATAATGGTCTAGTAAAGGTAGCAAAGGAATCTTGTCCACAATGACCTTAGTTGGCTTTAGAAAAAATGAAGTGTTGTGAGGTGGCACTGGGAAGCTACTCCTCCCCTGCAGAAAAAATGTGCTTTCCCTTCAAATCCAATGCAGAAATGTCTTCAATCTCATTTAATTCCAGCCTTCCTGAACCTGGCAGATACCAGAGACCCAGTGGAAAAGGCAAAAGAACGTAGCTTGCTCTCATGTTGTTGGACATGCATGCAGTGTGGCCTGACTGCAGCTTTGCAGCACTAGCTGTCTCTTATTCTGTGGAAAGGCAATGTAGGGTACTGATATTACTGCACTAGCAAGTTCTCGCTGAAAGAAAAGACACCATGAAACCCAGAGTTCCTTAACGGTGTGGCTCACAGAATCTTTAATATATATATATATGTACGTATATACTCATGTAACTCCCATCATTACATTATCACTGATGGACCACTGTCATTGCAGACACCACTCTGTGGAATCATGGTCTGCATCTCCCTCAAACACTGCTGGATGAGGCGATAAAAACAGCTGTCTTCATTAGCACATTCATCAAAGTTTCCATTCCATGGGTGTTGATGAAACAAAGGAAAGATAGAAAATGAGACCGCATTTAACACCTAAGATGAGCCCTATTAAGAGTCATAATTTGGCATTGTTTTTGTGACACCTCAAAGCTTAAGAGTGATTTGAATTTCTAAGAACGTGTTAGGTAAAGGAAAACTGTTTCCTATATAGAAAGAGTCACTACAGAGAGTTTAAAAAAAAGATTGTGCAAAGGCTATAAAATACTGTTACAGCATACCTTACATTTCTGGTTTTGTCTCTAGGTTGCATACACAGCACTGTTTCCTGAAGACATTCCCTCAAACAAAGTCATTCTTAAAATCAGTGCTAAAGATGCGGACATTGGGTCCAATGGTGAAATTCGCTACTCCCTCTACGGTGCTGGGAATAATAAATTTTTCTTAGATCCAGAAAATGGTAAGATGACAACTGAATGTTTCTGAATAGCCTTCTTAATCCCTCAGTGTCAGTGGGTGCTAGTTTCCTTAACTAGAGTTAGGTTACACTTGTACACTTGGTTATCAGCCAGTTGTTCCAGTTATAGCAGGCATGGATGACCATTTCTGAAGTGGTGGTGGTAGGAGGGAGAACAAGAGACATCTTTATTGGCCAGGTTGAATGTTATAATCAGAACACTGTGGATACCAATGCTTTTGTTTCCCTGAAAGACCTCAAGTTAGGTCAGAGAAGTATCATAGAATCACAGAATAGTTTGGGTTGGAAGGGACCTTTAACAGTCATCTAGTCCAGCCTCCCTGCAATGAGCAGGGACATCTTCAGCTAGATCAGGTTGCCTAGAGCCTCGTCCAACCTGACGATGAACGTTTCCAGGGATGGGGCATCTACCACCTCTCTGGGCAACCTGTTCCAGTGCCTTACCACCTTCACTGTAAAAAATTTCTTCCTTATATCTAGTCTAAATCTACTCTTTTTCAGTTTAAAACCATTACCTTTTGTCCTATTGCACCAGATCCTGCTAAAATGTTTGTCCCCATCTTTCTTATAAGCCCCCTTTAAGTACTGAAAGGCCATAATCAGGTGTCCTCAGAGCCTTCACATCTCCAGGCTGAACCCCAACTCTCTCAACCTTTCCTCATAGGAGAGCTGTTCCAGCCCTCTGATCATTTTTGTGGCCCTCCTCTGGACCCACTCCAACAGCTCCATGTCTTTCTTATGTTGGGGACCCCAGAGCTGGACGCAGTACTCCAGGTGGGGTCTCACCAGAGCAGAGTAGTGAGGGAGAATCACCTCCCTCGCCCCTGCTGGTCACGCTCCTTTTGATGCAGCCCAGGATACAGTTGGCTTTCTGGGCTGCAAGAGCACATTGCAGCGTCATGTTCGGCTTTTCATCCACTAGTATCCCCAAGTCCTTCTCTTCAGGGCTGTTCTCAATCTCTTCATCCCTCAGCCTGTATTGATACTGGGGATTGTCCCAATCCATGTGCAGGATCTTGCACTTGGTCTTGTTGGTCCTCATGAGGTTCACATGGGCCCTCTTCTCGCGCTTGTCCAGGTCTCTCTGTATGGCATCCCATCCCTCAGGTGAGTCAACCACACCACTGAGCTTGGTGTCATCTGCCAACTTGCTCAGGGTGCACTCCATCCCATTGTCTATGTCATTGATAAAGATATTAAACAATACTGGTTCCAATATGGATGCCTGAGGGACACCACTTGTCACTGATCTCCATCTGGACATTGCGTCATTGACCAGTACCCTCTGGATGCAACCATCTAACCAATTCCTCATCCTCCACACAGTCCATCCATCAAATCCATCTCTCTCCAATTTAGAGAGAAGGATGTTGTGGAGGACCATGTCAAAGGCCTTACAGAAGTCTAGCTCTCCCCTTGTCCACTTATGTAGTCACTCCATCAGAGAAGGCCACTAGCTTGGTCAGGCAAGACTTGCCCTTGGTGAATCCATGCTGGCTGTCTCGAATCACGTCCGTGTCCTCCATGTGGCTATCCTGAAGTGGTTTTGGTACAGTAGAGGGGAAGATGCCAACATGGGCCTCCTTTACCTTCAGACTTCACTTCTTCCACTTTGGTCTAGATATATTGGTATTTAGACCCTGTAAAAAAGACATTCCTTTTATACACAGAGTTTGGGGGAGAAAGAGTATTGGTAATGAATTTATGGGTGCAGTGGAGTGCTATAAAGGTCTTGTGCATTTGGCAGTTGGTGTGGAAGAAGATGCCGATCTCCGCTAAGATTTAGATTTTATGGTTGCTATGAAGTAAAGCTAAATAAAATAATTTTCCCATGAATAAAAATCCCACCCCTCCCTTATTCTTAGAAATTTGGTTTCCATAATGGTAGGCTTAAGTCTTCCCTGTGCAATGCCTCCTCCGCCTGACTAGCAGGAGGCAGCGTCTGCTATTGCTGTAGCGTTACTGATGGAAGAGGAGATGTTTGGAGATCTATGCAGTGTGTGGAAGGGGAAGTGTTTTCCTCCTGAAGAACAAATTTTGTATTTAACTGCAAATTACAGTCTTTACGAAATTAACCCAAAACTTACCTTCCAACTAGTATTGGCTGTTTTGCTGATGTGGTGATGTTTGGTGGTTGTTTAGCTGTGCAGTGGGTCATGGATTATGGGTAAAGCTCTCACAGTTTGAATAAGCTGCTTTTTGTTGCTGTTAATGTTTATTGTGATACCCATCTCTGTATGAGAATAAGAAGTTTGGTTCAAACTAGATGTCAGAGGTATCTACAGGAATTCAGAGCTGTTTGGAGATGGCTTTGTAGGGAGAGGAGAGGGGGATGTTGATGTTATTCTTGGATGGTAGCATTAGAAAGCTTTCATTATGGCTACTGTCGTCAGATTCAGGAAGTGTTTCTGTGTCTAGGAGTCTGTAAGTCTTGGGAGTAACAGAAAGAGAGACTTGGAAAAACACGGTGGTGTTCATATCGGTGAAGCTGTAGACTGTTGAAGGCCACCACAAGTGGCTTGTCCTCCCTGCACTCATATTGTCAGCTCACTTTGTTGGGTAAAGAGGAGTGAGAAGTGACACTGCTGTGAGTTTTTAGTCCATTCATTGGAATAAGCAAGGTTGATTTTTTTTTTCCTCTTTCCTTTTCCTGTGAAATACATGTTTTTAAAATAGTCACTCTATCTAGAATTAGTGATGTTGCTATAGTAGTAATGATGGCTGCTGCTTTTAATCAATTTTAGGTGAGCTGAAATCCTTGGCCCCTCTCGACCGAGAGAAAATCCCTGTGTACAACTTGGTTGCCCGAGCCACAGATGGTGGTGGCAGGTTTTGCCAATCAGAAATCCATCTTATTTTAGAAGATGTTAATGATAATCCACCAATGTTTTCATCTGATCACTACAACGCATGTGTCTATGAGAATACAGCCACGAAAGCTTTGTTAACAAGAGTCCAAGCCACTGATCCTGATGTTGGTGAGTAACAGTGAAAACTGTAATTAATATACAGGAAAACTCTGTGGGTTGGTGGAACTGCAATACAGATTAATTTTTCTATTGCTGCCTTTCCTCATTCTTTCCTTCTTTTGCTTCTGCATCCTCCCCATTTTTCTCTCTTCTGTTTCTTTCTACCAAAATGCTCATGGCTGAGCTTGACATAATGGTGTTACAAACAGAAAAGCATGGAAGCAGCCACAGAAGCATGTAGTCTTCTATTGTCTTGATGGGTGATAGCTCTGGTTAGGGGTAAGTGATAGTTTTGGGAGTAAATTCCAACTTTCTTCTTCCAGTGGTCTCACCTCTTTTCTTCAGCCATGATTTTGAATACCCATGGCTCTATTTATGCAAATAATATCGTTACATGCCATAGGGACCTATACCTGATTAATCACAGCTTTTCTAGAGTTTTATACTGCTATAACTCCCATTTGTTCCAGCTGGTTACCTTAGCATAAAACTATTGTTGTACACTGTGAATGTACATTATAAATGTTCTGGTTATTTAACTGTGCATACTTTTAAAGTGTAATAGTTTATTCTATGAGGACCTTAACCTTGAAATCTGGGCCCAATTATAAATATTTAAAGGAGTTTTTTTGCATAATACAGTGGTAAAATCTACTGAATATCAGATTTTTTTTTTAGCTCATTCACTTCAGTTGTAATAAATAAATCTCATAGTTTATTTTTACTTCCTGTGGTTTTTGAGATGTTTTGTAAAAACTGTGGCCTGAAGAGCCTCACATTAAAAACAGATCTTTCATTCAATCAAAAAATATTTCATGTTAAAATGTTTTTTTGTTTTTTTTTTAAGTACGGTGCATACTGGAAGTCTCAGTTGTTACTAAGGCTGGTAATGTAAATATACAGGAATCAGTAAAGGAGCAGCAAGCATTCATGAATGTATCTATGAAGAGCTGCATTATATGCCTTGGTTGAAAAAATCACAATTAAAATTATGATACTGTCCTGCAGTGAAAAGCCTATTAGTGGTAGTAAACTACTGAACAGTCTGAAGACCCAGTGTTGTTTTCCACTGTTGTCTTAATTACCATTTTTCTCACAGGTGAGATGACATTCATGGAGAGAAGAGACAGAAAGAATTAGAATAAAAAGTTGTTATTAAAACTTCTTGCTAGCACCAACTTTGCATAATAAGATGGTTAGCAATAAAAAATAACCCTATGAGCTAATTGCTACATCTTCCTTCTGAAACTGGATAACTAAAGGGAGAGATGCATGCCATGAATGAGAAGCGGCTATGTACTTCCTTAATGATTAGACCTGAAAATCAAACAAGACATTGTATCATCTGAAAGTGACTCTGGTCTCTGAAATTGGATATTATATTAATTACTGTTCTATTAGTCCATACTAAAATCACTGATTCCATATTGCTGCATAATGAATGAGTTCAGGTAGTGTAATGTTCTCATCACAGAGAAAGATGTATTATTGATATCCCTGATGGGCTATGATATATTCCTGTAACGTTTTGTGGAGCATTACCCTGAAAACATCAATGGAGCCAGTAATCATCATACAAATCAATTTTTAACATTCAGGAAACACCTTACAATCAGTCTTAGAATTTGCCTGTTCTGCGTTGGGCTTCGAAGAGCCAGGTACTGTAAGGGTAGGAGTATCAGTATAGAAGCCATTGAGATAAAACTTGGCAGAAGTCAATTTATGGTCTGCAACTAAACACAATTTAACATAAAACCAAAAATACTGTGGTCAGACACTGTTGGATAATTAAGAAAATTTCCAGTTAACAGGAAAATAGTGTTATACTTGCCTTGTGCCTTTGGTATCTCTTGAAGTTCCTGAACTCATGATATCCTGGGAAATTTCAGGTCTGGAACATAAATTGTTGTTTAATAGATTTGTGATTTGGATACATGCTTAGAAACTAGCTGTACCAGCTGGACACACTGAAGGAGAAATACGATTCTTCTTCACAGTATTCAACAGAAGAAAATGACTTTAACAGTTTAACTCTAGCAGCACACAAGTTCATTCTACATAACCTCTCCATGTAGCTAGGTATCTTAAATTAAATGATTCCTTGAAGGAGAGAGACTATACATGTGTCCCTTTGTTAAGACTTATTAGTAACTTTAATATAAAACAATTCTTTCTCCCATCTTGCTTCCACTGGAAATTCTTAATTTTTCCACAAGATAGTATTTCCTACTAATTCACCACCATCAAGTTTGGAAATGTGCAAACTAGGAAATGAAGGAGAAATGCTGGTTTTACAGATTTTTAGAGAAGTTCACAGGGAGCAGTGGGTTTTCCACCTCCCACTGTCTTCAAATCAAAGCGCCAAGTTACTCCATTCTGTTCAAATTAAGGCACAAGAAGAGTTGGAGTGAATCCTGAGGTGTAATTATCTGAGCAAACCCATCAGACAACTACAGTCAGCCCATTTCATTGGAATTAGGGTCATGCTAGAGCAGCAACACTGAGAAAACCTGCATGGGACTTTGTGGCAAGCATGACATTAAAAAAATTATAAACTTCTAAATAAACCTGGAGTCCAGACCTGAGCTGCAGGTGCATACTCATTTCCTCTGCTGCTCGTGTTTTCTCCATGCAGACAGTGTTGTGGCCTCGCTCACAGGATATAAGAATGAATGACAACACAGTCCAAGCTCAGCAGTTCTTTATGTGATGGTTAAAACCTGCCTCACTTGCAGCTGCTTTGCCTTGTGAATGACCTCCACGCTCAGGCCTGTTTCCGTGATGATTGATGGTGTAGTCTACCAAAGGCAGAAGCACTTACTGTGCTAAATATGAACAGTGCATCATCTGTCCTCTGCAGTCCTCTTCATCGCCACTGGGGCATTGGCAGTTCCACACCATCCACCTTTTGTAGTCAGTTTAGTGATTTCAGTGACCTGTTGATTTTTTTTCTGGGTTTGTGATGAATATGGGGTTCTAATTTTGCTCAAAATTGGAACAACCTTGTCAGCCAACCCTGTCTTGCCTGCCACTGCTGCCGTCCAGCCTCTTCATTATCCTGTGGTTGAAGCCATGGCTGGTACCTGCTCATGCAGGTCCTTCCCCATTCCCTGCACAGCCAACCAGCATAGCTGGACTACGTTGTCGTGGAGCCAGTACCTTGTATTGCATGCAGCCAGTGTGCAGGAAAACACAGGCATGTAGGCAGACAAAAAATTGGCAGGAGTGGCCTTTATTTGGTTTCAAAGAGTTCTCCGCAGTGCATAGACCTCCCTGCTCCATCCCCAGCTGTCCCTCACCCCCACGCCCCTTCTCCAGCCCCAGGGCCCGTACAAGAACATTGCACAGGAGGAGTGGTGACGTGCAGCCTGCAAGGAGCCAGCTGGTGCCCAGGTTACGGTCTGACTAGCCACATCTAGGAGTGTCTCAGAGACACAATTCAGACTGATCTGATTCTTCCTCGAATAGCAGTCACACCTCAAACAGCAAAGGCCTGCATGCACTTGCCTGCCCAGCAAGGCAGTCGCCCTTTGCCAGCAGCCCTATTCTTTGACATAGTGTTGTCCATACCTTGTGTTTGTCACAGCTTATGGTCCACTTCCCAGCAGGAAGTTGTGCGTGGTGACAATCAGAGGTGAAACACCTTGGACAGCCTTGCTAGAAACATGTCTCTGGCCTGGTGGATACAGTGGTGTCATGCTGCAGGGTTCACACCGTCACAGGATGGTTGAGGTTGGATGGGACCTCTGGAAGATCATCTTGTCCAACCACCCTTCTCAAGCAGGGCCACCTACAAGAAGTTGTCTAGGACTGTGTCCAGATGACTTTCAGATATCTCCAAGGATGGAGATATTCCCTGAGTGCTGTGCAGCATGGGCACCCCAGAGCCCCTCTGGGAATAACCGGAGACCTGCACTGTGGATACAGACCAAAGCATAACATCCTCACCATGACCTGGCAGAGCAGTGCAGACCGGCAGCAAACCCACGCTGATGCCATCTCTGTCTGCCAGTTCATCCCAAGCTGGACATAATTGAGAGAAGAAGGATTAGTGGCAGATGAGATTTTGCAGAAAGTGTAGTTTGGGGAAATATTCTCCCATATCTAATAGCCTGCTTGGTGAGCAGTTGGGGAACCTGGCAAACTGGGGGGGAGGAGTGCCTTTTTATTTCAACTTATGATTGAAAGTTTCATCTTGAATTTCCAAGAAATCTGTGACAAAACTGGTATTTTCCCTCCAAGTTTTGACCTCAGTGATTTTGACTGAGGTTTGACCAAAAAACCCCAACAAATCAAACCCTTACCATGTGGACTCATAAGGAAGTGCACAGGAAATAAGAAATGTCTTTTCTAGGGAAGAATGGTAATATAACTTCTCCTTTAGGTTTCGGTCAGTCCAGTCTGGAATGTACCTACCTTCAGGAAGGTGGTGAAGCATGCATATTATATCTTCTTTTTCTTCCTGTCCCCTCCTTGTGTCAATGAGAAAAATTAAGAAACAATTAAAACAATAAAAATTAAATATCTATCAGAAATAATGACCGAGGAACATAGATAGTTTATCACTTGTTTGTAGAAAGCAGCATCGAAATGCTGGTGAGCACAGTACAGAAAAAAATCACTCCATTTGGTTGTTCAGTGGGTCACCACGTTCAAGAACACATGCGTGGAAGTAAAGAGTACTGACTTGAACCTTATCAACGGTGGGCTTTGCTCTTGAAGGAATTAGAGCAACTGAGCCTGTTGCACACACAGCTGGGCTTGGGGAAGGGTGAAGTGCTGCCACGTGAGATTGCAGAAGTGTCAGAGAGGAGTGCAAGATAGTCACAATTTGATTAAAGAGCAGTTCTCTGAATTATGTATAATGGCAAGTAATAAAATAGAAATGCTGAAGTAGATATTGATTTTGGCATTTGCTGGCAAAGCCAGTATACAGCAAACGTCTGCTTTGCATGTTTGTTTATGTTGGGGAGATCCCTTAAAATGGATCTAGAAACATTTGAGGCATA